TCTACAGCTGTGAAAGTCTCATATGTTGCATTTGGATGTGACCAAGTGACTTCTCTTTAAGAACTTCCTTTTTCTGTTATTAACTTCAAGATAGCAAGAAAGCCTTAGTTCATAAATCTTAGCAATTAAGTGCCAATGTGTTCCCAAATTATTTTAACCTTGAGTAAAATCCAACTAAGGACTCATATACATTTGTTTGCCTGCCATACTTAACAGTTAATTTACTCTGCCAAGAATCATTTGGCTATTAAAAAATCATAGCAACAATGAAATAAATATTTTGTTGTAATTTCCTGGTTGTGCCAAAAGTTACCATATTAGAATATGCTAAAACAGGCAAGGGATGAGTGGTCCTTCAGCAAACAGTACTTTTCCTAATTGTTTTGGCATAACACACCTTCAGTCATACCTCCAAAAGAACCCCAATGCCAGCAGAAACTCACAAAGAATTAAAAAACTGTAGCAGTGGTTTCTTGCACTGGCAATCATTGTCAAGTCTTTATTTATATTCTCAAGTAAAGTATTGAAATCATGAATTTACTTTTAGTCACTGTTCAATCTTTGTTCAATAATACTGAGCACAGGAGGTGGGTCTATGCCACTTGATGAACACAGTTTCTATTTTCTTGCATTAGCACCTGTCTTTATGCATTAAGAAGCATAGCAGGTAGCATAGTGTTGGCCATGTCTCTGCAGTGGCATATTTCCATCTCCCAAGGGGTGTGGGAAGACCGAATTGCACGGCAGTAACAATAAATCTAGCATATCCGTTTATGAAATAACTTTGGCAGTAATGGCAAGAGGATTTGGATGAAAGTGTATTTGTGGTCTTCCAGCTGGAAGATCAGAGCAGAGATTCTAAAGCAAAAAGCACAGAGTGGAATGGCAGATAGTGACTGCTTGGATAAGAACAGAAGAGAGTTGAGGATCCATGCTGAGCTCAAGAGGAAATGCAAACAAGGCAGTCCTTTCAAAATATCCCGTGCTGTCCAATATCTGCATAAGGGATTACTAATGCCATCTGCTGGATAGATTTGGGGTTTAAAAATGGAATCTACACACACAATACTTCAGTGTCTCCTGTACTGTGACTTTAGTTCTTCTAGTGAAAAAAAAACAATAGCAAACACAACAACAGCAAAAACAAGCTAAGGAGAACAATCAATGGAAATGTATAGGTCATGTACATGTGTGTTGCACCTTAACAAGGCTAAAATTTGTACTGTCACTGCATTTCAGAGACTTACAGTATTTTGTTGTTTTTAAAATCAGAATTCCATAGTAGTACAGGTTAGCCATATACAGCACTGAGGCAACTGGGTATAGGTTGTACTGGAACTCCATGGAACCCCTGCTAAAAATATTTTATGCACTATAAAGTTTATACACTACATATTCCCTTTTATTAGAGAGAACATTGTGGTTTTGTTTTCTGTCTTGTTTTGTTTTATTAGAAAGGGAGAAAAAGATTTTTAAAAAAAAGAAGATGTATCACCATTTGGTCAAAACGATTACATATACATTTGGATCTTATATAAAATATATGAAGTCATATGTTTTGTTTTTGTTTTATGGAAATATTTTCCTCTGTCATGCTCTCTGTAGGATTGACTTGGGACCATAATTTTGAAATTACAAAATTCATTGTGATGGTATAATTTAAAATCTTAGAACTTTTTGCAATCATATATACTTTTATTGGTTGACTTTCACTTTTTTGGTAATTTATTTATTATAGAATTTTTAGAAATGTGTTGCTAAATTAACGTTGATTCTAAACCACATTTCCCAAAATATACCCATCCTATGAGATCTGCAGTGGGAAAAAATGATTTCTTTGGTCAAATCCATTTGAAATATGCTACATTCCAAATATTTTCTCCTAGAAATCCATAAGGCACATAAACTAAAATGCAAGGAGTTGACATTTATTGAGCATTTACTATGTGTCATTGTCTCATTTAATCCTCATTATGATTTAGTTATGTGGGCATTATCATTACTTCTATTGACAAATGAGGAAAGTGAGATTTAGAGCTTGTACTCACAAGCTTGAAGTGATATGAACCACAATACAAATATATGAAATAATATGCCATGTTAACATAACTTTAATGTTAATTGTATTTCTTTATTGATGTTAACCTGTTTAAAACTTTGAGGAGTAATGCAGTAATGGCAACTGTTTAACTTTGCTTAACCTAACACTTCTAAATCTATCTGGCTACAGAATGCTCACTAATTTTAAAGTAGTGTCCCACAGAATACAGTTCTAGAAATGTTGATATATGCTAGAGTATTGCCATAGATGAGGAGCCAGGAAGGGAATTAGTAGCTCTTTAATACTTCTCTGGTCATTTGTTCCAGAATAACTACTGGTGTCCTCTACCTAGGCATGCCACTCGCTAGTTTCCACCTGACTATTTGGAATGAGTAGACATAGAGACGCAAACACCTGATAGCTTTGCTGTTGCTGGTGCACAGAGCACAGCAACTCTGCATAAATGTGTGATGTTTAGTACATCCTGCAAAGGAAACAAGCGTAATTTAGTTAAGTCACAAGGTTGAGTGAAAAACAGCATGCTGCAGTTACTGTTTAGTCAATTAAATTGTCCTCTGCACTCATAGGAACTGTTCCACATTTATTACCAGTAAGATACACACTCTGGCAGTGCTGTTGATTTCCTTGCTTTGAATTGTCTTATATTTAGCACTTTTTCTAAAGATTCAGAAGTTCTAAAGTTCCTGTCAATGACAGATGGTGTGTCCTTACTTATTGCTTGTCTTCCTGACAGCATTTGATTTTTCTTTTTTCTTTTTTGCTCAATTACCTCACAGTAAACTCAGCTTTTTGGAAGGCGGGATAGTTTTCATTTGTTATCATTACATTACTATATATGTAAGTGGCATCACCTCTACATGATCAGGTACCATTCTCTTTTTACATTGTTAGTATACATATGTATAATAATAAGAGAATTATAGGATAAGAGGAATAGAAGAAACAGATTACCAAGGGAAATTCATACATTCATTTCTCGTTACTTTGATAACCTAATATACTTGAGTTCCCATTGGATAATTTGTTTGTCTGTTTTTTTTCTTTACTGACATGCTACTTTCTTTTGATAGTCCAAACATAATATCACCTTTTAAGCTGTGTTCCTTATTCATTATGGTAAAAAAAAATATTATTTTTAAGACTTTCAGTATTTCATTACAATCTAAAACTTTTTGAGTTTTTTGTTTAAAAAGCACTACTAGTGTTTACTAGCTTCCAAGACATTTATAGGAATTCACACAATGAAACCAGACAACATAACAAAGATGGACTTGGACATGAAATAGGTTCCAACAAAGGGAAAATTTAAATCAAATTGCTTAATTCCTTTCATTGATTTCAAATACGTTTACTGCTAAAACAGGAGATGTGTTATTTAGGTAAGAAAGATGGAAAAAGAAAACAATTTGGCTGTGGAAATAAATAGAAAGACTTGAAAAATTCTAGGACGTCTTAAAATAACTTCTAAACTCTAGAAGTAATTCAGTCCTTCAAGATAGCAATGCACTAGAGTGATAAAGCAATACATAGGCTCAAGTGTTATTAAGTGAAAAGGGAAGAATGTTGCTAAAAATATATAAATAACCAGATTAATTGATTTGGAATTTATGATAATAATCTTGTTCTCTACACAAGAACTCAGAATTTCTTTTGATGTAAATATGTCTCTTCTAAGAGTGGCTCTCTCTATATTAGTTCAATTTGATAATATGTGAGAAGCATAAACAATTATCTCTTATTTTTCTCTTTTCTTTTCCTTAATTCCACTTCTATAAGTTTTACTCTTTCTGAAATGATAATATGTATATACACACACACATATATCTTACTGAATATATATTTCTAGATATACATGTATGTATATATAGAAATTTGTGTGTGTATGTGTGTGTATATATATTATATATAGAGCGAGATCTTGTACTACTCCGTTTACACTAGTCATTTAAGCGAAAGAACTCAAAGCCTACTGAGTTTCAAGGTCTAAATTACTGAACTTTCTGTGGTCATTTTTTACCCAATACTGAGTGCTCCTTCCATTACTGATATCACTTACTTTTAAAATTAGTGGTTTTTTCACATTGGTCACTTTTGGTAACATTCAAGTACACAAAATCAGAAAATTCATGCTAACTCATTGGTTATATATAAAGATGTTAATCTAGACCTAAGGAAATTATATTTCTCTTGTAATGGTCATTTTCTCAGATAATGAATGTAAGCATTAACTTTCTGTGTACATTATAATCATAAAGTTTCAAACATCTTTAACACATGGTGTCACAATAATATATGAATTTTAGTTGTGTCTATTGCAAAAACTTTGTATATAATTAAAAAGACAAGATATATATATATACAGAGATATATATATGTGTATACACACACACACACACACATATATATGTTTTGTTCTTAAATACCTTTCTAGAATAATTTTTTATTCACCAGAGAAAAACGTGTCTGTAAAAAGAAGTCCTGAATATTTTATATTCTTCAAAAGGCCAAAAAATATTGCTTGAGTTTCAAATTATGACTTTATAAAATCACAGAATTAAAAGTTACTCTCCCTAATGAGTATATTTATTAAAAATTTATTGATTTGGAAAAAGTCAGGCTGAAGCTAACAAAAAGGCTTTGCATCCAAGATAAGGTAGGCTAAATTACTCTAACAAATATACCCAAAATGTAAAGTCCCAATACAACAGAGGTTTCTTTCATGTCAGGACAGAACCATAACAGAGTAGGGGAAAAGGGTCAGCTCCGTGAGTTGGAGATATTGTGGCTTCCACGGTCCTCTGATGATGACATCACAATTCCAGTAAGATGAAAGGGTCAAAGCGCAGGCAGACATAAGCACATGGGTCAGGTTTTACAGGTCAGGTTTGGAAATTCCATACATCACTTCTGCTCACATTCTATTTGCTAGAACTCAGTCACATGGCCCTTTAATTCTGTCCTGCAATAAGTCATGGGAAACGTGGGCCTAACTGAGTGTCCCGGTAGAAGGAGAAAAGGGATTTTGATGATTATCTAGCAGTTTCTACTATATGAATTCTTGATTTTGCTTAAAAATAGGGGTGAATTTAAGTGAATATGCTGCTAGTATCATCTACTTTTTCTGGTAAACTTTGTATCCACTTGCTTGTTCTTGGGGCAGAGTATTTTTAAATTCATTTAGTACCCTAAATTGGAGGGAAGCTTGAGAATTAATGATTTTAGAATATTCTGTCTCACAGAGACACTATAGGAGACCTGAGAACTTGAAAGTCTGATAGAGGCTCCAATAGACTTTTTCTTTAAAGTACACATTAAGACATATGAATGGATTTCCAGTTACTCATACTAAGAGTTCACATATACTTGGTGCCCACCTATGACAAAGAGCCCCCAATATAGAATATTAATATAACTGTTTTATTTATTTTTCTGCAGAAATGTGCTGATAATTTTTCATTTGTAACAAATTTATACTACTAAAATATCTTATATTTTAATATTCATGAATAAAACCAAAGACAAGAGGGAGAGATTCTCTCCCTGCTGACCCTAAACAAAGGAGAGTAATTAGTACAGTGAGTAGCATCATGGCCTTAGATGAGACATTTGCCTTCCTTTGTTGAAACCCAACATGAAACCTTGTGCCTCAATACTATTTTGTGTTTTTGCCTGAAAGTTCCTTTAAAGATGAATAGTAATGAGTAAATTTTATGGTCTAGACAAATTACTGATAAGTTACCGTTATAACTCTTACTTTCTACTTAGTTCATACATGGTGTTGCACAAAATAAATTCTCAACAATTTCTGCCGGCAGTGCAGAATTCTAGCTTAAATTTTGCTTAATCTGGCTACTCATACAGAGTATCTAAAGGAAGACAATTTAAGCTAAATTGAATTTTCTCTTCACTCTACTACTAACATTGCTTCAGAAGTACTTTCAATCTGTATTGCCTACATTTTTTCCCTCTGATTTCTTTCTCTTTTAGTGTTTCATATTTCTCTTCACTTTATCCAAAAAACCTACTTCTCTTTATCTGAGTCTCTAGTTCATAGTCTTTTAAATTCTAAAAAAAATAAAAGAAAAGGAAAAGAAAAAGAGCTGGGTGCAGTGGCTCATGCCTGTAATCTCAATAATTTGAGAGGTGGAGGCAAGAGGATTGCCTGAGCCCAGGGGTTGTAGACCAACCTGGGCAACTTGGAAAGACCTTGTCTCCACAATAAATCAAAAAATTAATTGAGTGTGGTGACGCACAATCATAGTACCAGCTACTTGGAAGGCTGGAGCAGAAGGATCACCTGAGCCCAGCAGGTCGAGGCTGTGGTGGCCACAAGTGTGCCACTGAACTCCAACCTGGGCAACAGAGTGAGATTCTGACTAATGAATAAATGAATAAATAGATAAATAAATAAAAATGAATTCTAGTAAAGTTCCCACTTATTTTCTAACCCTTTTCATTGTTAATAAATTATTGATAGTTTGTCTCTAGTATGATTAAAGAAAAATAATTAGAAAATTAAAAATAATAGTCACCATTACTAGTATAAATGGTTTTTTTTGTTTATTTTTAGGTACAACTGAAACTTCCATGAGTGTTATTTTCTACATTAAGTTTTACCCATAAGTTGAGCATGCATGTATTTCACAAAAAATAATAATGATGAAACAAAAATAGATAACACATCCTTCATTTTCTGATAATACTTTACCTACACACCTCAGTAAAGTCACAGAGACAAATGTAATCTACATTAGAATAGTATAAATTTGATACCATAATATAAAAAACAAAGATTCTGCAAATAATTATACTTTGAGGATACATTGAATCACACAGCAAATACATTTCCAATTGTATTCTTGTGATTCTGTGTGTTTTTTAATAGGCGTTTCTCGGTAGGACAAAGAATAACCACCGAAATGCAATTCACACTTTATAACAACTTCTTGCTAGTTATTAGAAAGCATCTTCACTTACAAACCAATCATTCAGTATTATTGCTAAAAATAATAGAATAATCTCTTAACGGTCTCACCTATTAAATGGTCATGGTATAAATCATAAGAGCATGCCTTAAATGTATATGATAAGATTTGATATATTGGAGTCCTTAATACGAAAATCAACCCAGCTTCTTACTCACGTGAACATATTCCCCCATCCCGAAACTTACTGTTTTGGCAAAAGTCAAGAGTTATTTAGAATAAATGTATCCAAAGTTAGTCAACCAAGATTGCTATATTGTTTCTTCTTCCTTTTGTATACGTTTTATTTCTTTTCATCTTATTAGCAATCTAAAAGCTACTAAAAATTTTTATCCACACTTTAATGATAATAAGATTTCTATTTCTTTTAGTATTTGCATTCAGATAATTTTAGAACTGGATCATTTTGAAACACCCATGACAGAGATTTTCAGAAGAATGTATAACAGTTTACTTAGTCAAGACAGTAGCACACATATACAGAGGGAAGTGCAGAAAATAAGAATATTAAGTGAGAGCCAGATTTTAGAGAGCTTTGTACTCACATATTTATTAGGTAGATAATAGAATGTCATCCAAGTTTACTTTAAATTGGGAATATGGTTTGAGATTTGAACTCCACTCTCAGTTAAATCACAAATAGTAATTTTTTCCTGTTGAAACCTATGGTGTTCTAAGTTTTTGATGAATTATATTTTCAAATTTAATTAGCAAGTTTACAGAGCATCTACATGTCAAACACATATATCTACAGTGCTTTGCTAATGATTTTCTATCTTCTATTGAATAACAATGACATTTGTAACATGCGATTCATTTTTTGCCATTTGTGAAGCATAGCCATTTAGTTAAGTTTGTTTTGCATGATTAATCTTGACTGATAGCTGGTTTGTTTTCTATTCTAGGTTGTGGAGACTAATTTGGTTGCTTTTGACTGTCACTGGATCATTATAAATGAGGTAAACTCAACTAAACCTTATCACCAACTCTTTTTCCTGTTTTCGTATATATATAGTCCCAACATTTTCTACAATCTTGAATTTTTAAGAGAAAACAGAACATGAAGTAAACTTTCAGCTTACTGAGTCAATGCTGTTAAATAAAAATAGAATGAAAAGTTTTTTAAAAATGATAACGGGCTTTATATGAATAAAATAAATGGAGAAATTCTTTCCCACTGAGTATCTTTTAGCATTTTCTGTTGGTACATCCTGACTGCTTAGGGAGATCATCTTTATAAAAAGTACAGTTCTTCTTTGTAAGCAAAGTGAATTCCTCCCAGTGGAGTGCTTGTGTTTCATTTATATTTTAATGTTGTTTCTAGAGCTTTTATATTCACCCCCCTTACTTGAGGATTAAATAGTTCTGCATATGAATATGAATAAACAGAAAACAGATTTTTCCCTTTTCATAAGGAAGTATGACTGCTTTAAAATCCATAGACTTGTCAAATTCCTTGTGAATGTCTTTTGATTTTTGCAGCGATAATACATAAGATTAAAAATCTATCACAACCTGAAAACCCTGTGAAATAAGTTGTTCCATTAGCATCTGTCAGTCAGGAATGGAAAGGGCAGTGAGGAGATCAGTCATGGACAAGTAATGGGATCATGTGGATTTGTCCTCAGCAAGATATGGTGTTCACTCATGCCTATTATTTATGAATAAAGATAATGCAGGCCATTGTTTTGTTAAGTACTGACTGGGCCATGTGTTCTTTGAGCCATGGCTACCATGTGTTCCTAGCTTTGGCCTCCTCCCCTTTCTTGGGGAGGTGAATTTCTTCTTCTCTCTCTCTCTCTCCAATTTACCTTCTAAATAAACTATATTTTCCAATCTGATGGTAATAAAAATAAGATATTGCATTATCTATGACACTACATATGGAATTATAGAATAATAAGATTTGTTTTAGAGACAAGATAATTGGGGTAAGATAGTCAGCAAGATAGGTTCAATCCTGATGCAAAACAAACTGAAGTCATTTTACCTGTTTATGTCAATAGAGCTGGCTAGAAAAATAAAGTGACTTTTTGCCTCCTTAGAGGCACAGATTAATCAAAGCAAATTAATATTTGCAATCATTAACTGGAAATATCCATTCCTTTCCATTCTCTGATAAGATTGCAGAAGCAGCCCCTGAATTAATTTTTTTCCATATCTAATTTAGCTTCTACAACTACACTTAAATCTTAAAAGTATATACTCAAGTAGAGCTTCTTAGAACACCATGATCATTTATCCATGGACTGAGGGTCAATTTGTACTTTGGAAGAAATTGTCTCTTCTTCTTATATAGGCATAACTGGAATAGATGAACATGTTTCATTGGTAATAAATAGCATGAACAGAAAATAAAAGTGTATATCCTATAGCATCTTTCTTATGACTCATTTTGTTGAACTTACCTTTAAATTTTGTTTCATAGAATATTCAGAGGGAAATATTGTCCTGCAATAGATGCTCCATAATCTAAACCACTATTTTGCTAAATTGAACATCCATATAAACAAAGCAAGCTAACTGGTAAATAGCTCAATAAATGTTAGAAGTATAGAAGATGATATAGAAGACCTCAATTATTTTATCATTCTTCAAATGGGTTTTCTGCAGTAAATGGTTATAACTTCCCCTTTGCTGTCACTAAAACCCTTATCTTTTTTTTTTTTTTTTACTCACAGTCCTACTTCCTTGTCCTTGAACAGAGATATAAATTCTTTTGGGCAAGTCATACTGTCTAGCCTTTGAAAAATATGTTTCATGCCATTCACATTTGGTTATTACTTTTATCTGAACTAGGCTTAAAACTCAGAGAATGAGTAAATATTTTTTCTGTATTTCACCTTTAAGAAACACCATTGTCGCCGGGCCTGGTGGCTCAGCCTGTAATCCCACTCTTTGGGAGGCTGAGGTGAGTGGATTGCCTGAACCTGAGGGTTCGAGACTCGCCTGGGCAACTTGGCGAGACCTCATCTCTACAATAAATCAAAAAATCAGCCGGGCGTGGTAGTGCATGCCTGTAATTCTGGCTACTTGCATGGCTGGGGCGGAAGAATCACCGGAGCCCAGCAGGTCGAGGCTGCAGTGGCCGCTCCAGTCAAGGCAACAGAGTGAGACTCCAACTCAAAAAACAAAAAACAAACAAACAAAAAACACCATTGTCAGCCAGTGTATCTGAGGTCAGCACTCACTTTCACGTGATTCCATTCAGCCACCCGAGTCTCTCACTTACATATGCCTCAGAAGATTTGACTCTCACCTCTTTCTTACACACTTTTCATTTACACACTGGCTTACAAAAATTTATAATGGATGAATCATAATTTTCCCTAGTCTCCATAAAAGGAAAAACATGAATTTCTCAAAATATCTAAGAAGTTAGTAAACTCTAAATGTAAAAACAACAAAACCCCAACAATATGCAAATGCCCATTTTGACTGAACATGGAGACCATGAATCTGTCTAGTTTGGTTTGTGCAGCTATTATTTTGTTGCTAATTTTAAAATGGGCTGCAAACATTTATTTAATCTTATTGCACCAATAGTTTTCTTAAAGGGGGAATATAAATCAAAGTTGGCATTGTGCATCATGATACAAATTGATGTAGAAACTTGAAAACAATGTATTTTTTGCATTTGCATTCACTATGCTATTATAATGAGAGGCTGTGCTAGCTCATATGGTGCAATCAATCATATGTTAGTACTTGGGACCAGTATTTATCTTCTCCTTGCAATCAGTGGATCCATCTCAGAACAGCCTTTCCATATAAGTATTGTTATCCCTTCAGGGCCCTGGAGCAGATGGCCTGGCACTTTATTTAAGTTTTATAAAAGTTAGAAATTCAGATAGGAAGATGTACACTGTTTAAAGCTGTGAGAAGCATAGTGCTTTATGTACCCTTCTATTTCCTGATAATACTGAACCTGACCGTTGGGGTCTTGCTGTGATTTTACTGACTTCTTGTTTAACTAATTCAGCACATCATTTTCTGTTAACAACTACTGAGTACTTAAGGAGAAAGTTGTGGGTTTGGGGGCTCTGATGGTGTTGTTTTGAGATTTAAAAAGTTAATATGTGTTATGGATGTTTTTTATTTTTTCTACTTTAGTGATAAATTAAATTGCTCACTTCTAATCTATCAAGCAGAAAGTTACCATTCTGCTCCTCATCATGTTGGTATATAGCCTACAGCTGTTTCTGTTCCATTTTCAATAAAATATATGCATAATTGTTTTACATTAATGTTAAACTTTATGGAAGTATCAAAAAGTCATCTTTACTAAAGCATAACAAATATTTTTAAATGGTTTTTAAAAGGCATCATCTTGCAAGGCATGGTGACCAATGCCTGTAATCCCAGCATTTAGGGAGGCTAAGCCCAAAAGTTCAAGACAAGCCTAGGTAACATAGTGAGATCTCATCTCTACAAAAAAATAAAAATTTAGCAGGGTGAGCCTGTAGTCCCAGCTACTTAGGGGACTGAGCTGGGAGGATTGCCTGAACCCAAGAGGTTGAGGCTGTGGTGAGCTATGATGGTGCTACTACACTTCAGCCTGGGCAAAAAAGTGTGAAATTCAAACTCAAAAAAAAAAAAAAAAAAAAAAAATAGCATTATCTTATTCAATAGACCACATAGTAGGCAACTTAATCTCATTACTGAAATCTGCTTTATGCAAGATTGTTTAAAGCATTCTCATGTCTTGAATTACAACATTTTAGTGTCTTGAATTGAATTTTTAGGTATCAATCTTTAGAAGACAGCTTGGTAAAATATTGCATTCATTCATTAATTAATTTATTAACATTTATTGAATACCTACTACAGCCAGAAAATTTGTTATATGCTAATAGGTAAAAGAATGGGAAAAGGGAATATAGTAGTTTTTTGTCTTAATTGGCATTGGATCTAATGGATTTTTAGAGTATTTTCTTCTCCACAATCTTGTTAATCTAAATCTAAAGCTGATATACTACAAGGATTCAGGAATGACTCAGTTCTTCTAAAAGACTTCTTATGGGTAATGATTGCTTCTGGATGGAGTTATATCCCCAGCAGACAATTTAACTCTTTTTTCCTCCTTGGGTCTTACACAGTTCAGGATCCAACCTACATTAAAGTATCGAAGCATAGTGAATAAGAATATCCTTGTTGAACATATTGACTTAATTCCTAATAATTTTTTATTACTCAGGTAAATTAGTTTTGAGAAAAAAGATTTTATGCTTTACCCCTAAAGAAGCACATTTTTAAAAATCAGGTGCACTAAAAAAAATTTACTCATTTTTATTGCAATATTGATTTCACTTTTATAAATATATTTGATATAATAAAGATATAAGAAGAAAACATAATTTATAATTCAAGTTCTTTTAACTCAAATCTCAGGAATGCTGTACATCTTGATAGCGATTAGCATGCTGGTGGTTTTGGTGTCTGAGTGAGTGCTTATTTGGTAAACTAGCTCTTCACATAAATCTGACAGCTAAAACTAATATTAATTTAAACTGTAAGATTTAAACTATAATATTTTTTAAGTTAAGAACATTAGAACACTATAGATTCTAATAGATTCTATAGATTCTAATAGATTGTATAACAGTGTCACATACTAATAGATTTTGTAACAGTTTCACATTTTAATACAAAGTTTACTTGTGGATTTTTTTTTTCATTTAAAATGATCTCTTTATAAATAAAGTAATCACTTGTCTTTCAGTGTTTATATAACATTGCACCTGCCACTCTTGAAATGCAACCTTTGAAATGCAGAAGTAAAGTTCTGTACATATAAAATAGCTGCCTAATCAAGTTTTCATATCACTATCAAACTGTTTTTGATATCAGGTGTCAAAACTAAAATTGCAAGTGAATTTTTGAGACAGACTGTCTGTTAGCTTCATTCAGAATGGCAGATTCTTTCCTCCCAGAAAATTACTTTATTTTCCCTTCTTCAAATAATAATAGGCAAAATATACTCAATTCAAATTGACATTTTTTCAGCTATACTTTAGTTGCTTAGGTACCTGAGAACTACAACTTTGAGGCAACCATTCCTTTCCCCTTTTTTGTGAGTTTGAAATAGTCCTCTTAATGACTTTGGCTCATGATAGGTGACTTTGTCATTCCTTATTGAATCATCAGGAAATTAAATGCTAAAATAATGTATCTTTATAGTATTAATTCCTTTCATTCATAAATATTAATCTAAATAACTCCTGTAAGGAAATATGAACATTTTTTGTGTAATTTCTTCAGAGAGTGTTTCTTCTCATGATATTTGTACATTCATCCTATAAATAGAGTATTTTGAATGAAGAACTTGGAATCTTTCTGATTCTTTATTTATAAGGTGAGAATAAACAGTGTCTGATTCAGTGTAATCTTTTTAGCAGAAAAAGAGAAAATGGGCAAAATGGTTAATATTTTGTCTAACATGTATTAGGCACTTATTAAATGTGTTCATTGCAGGTAGTATAGATAGAGATGATGCTATTTGATAAAAATGTTGATAAATCTTAGTATTGCTAAAGAAAAATGACCATGTATATAATACAACTTAGTTAATAATATTAGAAAAATGCCAGGTACAATTTTCCACCACCTTTTAAATAAAAGTTCCTGCCTGCACAATATGAAATGTAAAAAATTGAAAGATGTTGAATAGCAGTATTAATATTAATTGACTTTAAAAGCTGTCTGGTTAAAGTTAGGGCTTAAGATGGCATTGGCAGGACACTGTTTAATTCTACCTTTTAAGCAGATGACATAGGATTACAGAGTGACCTGCTCTTTGCCAGACAGAGTTTTTGGTGGTCAATGAAATGACACAGACTAAAGGAAAAAGATGGCATTTTAAACTGAGAAAAACCATTTTATGGTACATTAAGGATTGATTAAATGCCCAGATCCAGGATATTACACTAGATCCAGCTGATAGCAGGTGCTATTTTCAGAGAAATCTTTATGTAATAAAGATCATAAGGATGATTTTTAAATTGAACATATGCTACAAAAAAGACTAATATGTAATTAGTCTAGTAAGAAAAAAGTAAATTTACACCTGTGAACTATCTTGTCTTTCATTTTTCTGTAATAATTTCTTGGATCGAAATCAAGAAATGCTCACTGCAGTCTTAAGTTTACCTTGTGTCAAATCTTTTATTTCTATCACATAAGAATCTATGTCAATTGTAAAGCTTCATTGGTATAAAAGGTTTCAAATGGATACTATTAAACACAGATTGCTTTAGTAAAGAATGCCTTAAAGCTAAAATTCAGTTTGATCACTTTTATTCTAATTTCATTTAGAACAGATGTGTGTTAAAAAAAATATTATTTTTTTAATATACTTTTACAGCCATGATTGAGCCAAAGCTTAAAATTTAAGTCAGGGGCTTGGAGGTAGGGGAAAAAGTAAAAATTATATTTCTTTGAGTTTGGCAAACACTCATATACAAAATAAAATTCCTTTAGATAAAGAACATTGGATTTCTCTTTTTACTCATCCTGATTCACATTGTATTAAGCAACAGAATTTTTCATCTTTGTATAGACCACAATTGTCAAAACCACAATTATATGCTAACTTATTCATTCAAAAGTTATAAAACACTTTGATATTAAAAAGTGCTCGTCCTCCTCTTGTTTTCTCTACCTGCCTCATTTAAAAACCTTAATTTTCGTATATATGTGTATACACACACACACACACACACACACACACACACACACACACACATATATACTATACATATAGCAATTACATTGCACAATCTTCCAAGGTACTCAAGTATTCTAATCGGTACTTGAAATCCATTAATAGATAATAAACTATAATAGCAACTTATTTGTGACCTTTTTAAATGTTTTGACTGTACTCATATTTTTCTATTGTTCAATGTAATAAACTATGAGCATATTAATAAGCTGTATCTAAGTTAATTGCTTTATTTGGAATTGTATAGACATCAATGTATATAATTTGAAGCACAGATAGCAACTATAAATGAGTTGATCATTTTGAAGAAAAATGTGTTGTTTTCCATTAGATGTGGGCTAAGCATTAAGCCAATGCATTAAGGTAACAGAATGCTTAACATTTTTAGATTATGAATGGTTTTGTGTTTTTGTTACTATATTAAAGTATTTCTAATTCTTCTACTCCTTATCTTATAGGAAATAAACGATATGGATGTTCAGGAACTTGTAAGAAGGTCAATTGGAAGGTTAACAATTATTCGGCAGACATTTCCAGTACCCCAGAATATAAGTCAGCGATGTTTCCGTGGCAACCATCGAATATCTTCAACGTTGTGTGATCCTAAGGATCCATTTGCTCAGAATATGGAGGTATGTTCTAAATGCCAGAATATTTCTTCCACGGTGCTTTGTTGAGCAATCACAAAAAGAGCCTTTTGAATTGCATTGAATTCAGAATTATACATATTATCATTTCTGAACAATTTTCCTCCTCTAGCAATTTCATATGTCTGATGAGGAAAAAGTGGTAAGAATTTGTGTCTTTGTTTCTTTTGATCTCATCGTAGATGAGTTTTCTACTTCTTTAATAAAAATATAATAAATATATGCTCTTTCCTTTTAAGCAAATTGATTCATAGCATTTTCCACGGGAGAATTTATAATTGATATTCTTAATGCCAAACTCCAAATTATTAAGCTAATAAATTTGCTTGACTTTTCTGACATAAAAAGGACATAGATATTTATTATTTTAAAAAAGATTAGTCTTCAGTTAGAATAACTTTAACAACAACAACAAAAAAAACCTATTCTGAAATAAAAAGGAAAGTGCTATAGTATTATATGGTAATAACCAGCTCAGCTAGGACATAAGCTGAAACCTCTACCATCCAAAATACAACAAAAAATTTGAAAGTAAATAAATAAAATATTTGAATAGCAAAAACAGAGAGCACCAAGTCCCTGTAGCTTACTCCAGAGAATGCCCTTTGAATACTCACTTGAAGCCCATTTCTTTTTCTTAAGGAAAATCCTACCAGTTTTTTTTTTTTTTGTTTGTTTTCCTTTTTGCGCTGGATATCTCAATTAGTCATTTTGAAGAGTGTTACAAAAAGCAGACACACAGGCGACAGCGGAAAGCCACAAGGAGCATTATCTAGCAAGGCAAGAGACAAGGGAAAGAACAATCAATCATACGCACTAACTCATATATCCTACCAATATAGGACTTTCCCTGTAAAACCAAATCTGTGTCATAAAACAGTTCCTAAACATATCACTGAAGTATGATACTAGCTTATAAGTTATTATTTAAACAAAAATCCTGAAATATCAGCAAAGATTAAAATCGTGATTGATTTTAGAAGAAAAACATGATATACATTTTTATTAATTCTATGTTATTATAGAAATGTGGGGTACAATTAAGGATGAACTACACAAGTAGGTTGCATACCAGTGAAGTCTGGGCCTCCAACTGGCCCTCACTTTCCCCGGTTTAGGATCAGGTACCCTTTGTGTTTTTATGTGTCCCCTCCTTCCTCCCTCCCCTGGCAGCGCCCAGTAACTGCTGCTTTCTTCCTTGTGTTAATGTGATTAGTGTTCAGGGTCCACTTATGAGTGAAAACACATGGTATTCATTTCTTTGTTTCTGCGATAGATCACTAAGTATGACGATCTCCAACTCCATTCAATTTGCAGCAAAGTCCTCGATTTTGTTTTTCTTTATGGCTGCCTAGTACTCTATTGTGTCTGTGTACCACATTTTCTTTATCCAGTCCACTTTTGATAGGAAATGGGGTTGGTCCCATGTTTTTGCTCTTGTGAATAGCACAGCTATAAACATTCTTGTGCAAGTGTCTTTTTTGTACAACAATTTATGTTCCTCTGTGTATATTCCCAGGAAATGCATTGCTGGATCATATGGCAAGTCAAGTTTTAATTCTTTTAAGAATGACCACAATGCTTTCCATAGAGATTGACGAGTCTGCACTCCCAGTAATAGTATAGAAGTGTTCCCTTTTCTCCACAACCTCACCATAACTATTAAAACATTATATATTTTAGAAACCTGTTTTTTGTTGTTTTTCTTTTTAAAATTTTTTTTTAATTTTAAAGATGTGGGGTACAATTCAGGATTAGGTATACAAGTGGTCATAATACAGGTAAAATCTGGGCCTCCCTTTGGTCCCCATTTAGCCTGGTTTGAGATCAGGTACCCTTATTGATGTTATGTGCCCCTCTCCCCAGGCAGTGTCCTGCTACTGCCAATCCCTTTCTTATAGGATTATTAGAAACCTATTTTTTTTTAAAATGTTTACTATGGAAAACATTTTGGTACTTAGAGATGCTCAGTTTTCAGAGTTTGGAAATGTAACCCTTGAAAAACTAGGTCATCTCCAATAATATCAGAAAATAAGATGATTTTGCAAAACTGCTTCTATTAAAACACAACCTGATAGCCTCCCTAGCCTTTGTCACTTTTGAAATTTTTTTAGATAAATTATCATTTAACCAACCATTTTTTCATATGTGTTACAAGAAGCTTAGCTCCAAGATCACTGTCTTGGAATGGATTTTAAAACTCCTTTAGAATAGGTATCTTCCAGGACCTGACATCATAAAATTCCATAATATACTTTTCTATCATTTCCTCTATCACATCTACCACAGTGCTTTGCATCTATGTGAATATTTGTAGATTTGAATGTAATTAAGGAGAAGAGAATAATCAAAGTAAGCCAATCCGAAGCCTCAACAAGACCTGTTTAAATTTCAGTTCCACTCTTACAGATATGCTTATAATGGCCCATCTTTGCATTTTAACTGATTATCAATATGATTGATATGAAAATGACAGAATTTTTAATGAAGAAAATCATGAAAGAATTTTGATTTAGAAAGTTGTGAAACATTAAAGATGTTTCTCTCAAAATAAGCACTGGAAATACAGGACAAATTTAAGAGAAATTACTGATTGTGTCACTTTGGAAAAGTAAGCAGTATATCGTAGCATATTCACTTAACACAATTTTTTCACTTTAGTTAATGAGGTTCTTGATATCAGGGAACAAATAGTTTTATTTAGCTCTATATTTCCAAACGTATCTGATACATTTAAGCTGTACAAGATTCATATCTTTCTCCCTAACCCATACTTTCATCCTACTCTTCTGAAATCCACTGATAGAAGAAAACAGGACAACTACCTTTTTATTTGCTAATGTGTTACATATTAACTTCCCTCTTATGTGTAATAGGATTTGGTTTCTTGACTGTTACCTATTTTAATGTACACAGAAAGAGAAGTAAAATTTAGAAAAACCTCAGTTTCATAAATGTTTAAATTAGTATCAGAAAGACTGAAACTTAAGATTTGCTGAAGTTGCAAAATAAATGTTCAACAACACCTTTTAGCTAGAAAACAGAGTTTTTAGTGATATATGAAATAAGAAGGAAGTGATCCATTCACTTCTTGGTGAAACCGATGTTAGTTTGACTGCCAATGGAGAGAAAAGATAAACATTCAAATCCTTTTGCTACTGTTTTCTCCATCTAAGGAAAACTATCTTCAAATTGGAAAAATTAGTAAAAGTCATGAAAAGAAAGTAAACTACTGGTTTAGAAGGAACAGGGGATTAGAGACAGCAAGAGTAGCACTCACTGTTTTGAATTAGGCCTCTCAGAAAACTACTCAGAGCAGTCTATCAGCCAGCAGATGAGATCACAATATTATAGTTTGGAAATACTAGAGAAATACTTAGGAAGAGGGCCAAAGTATAAGAGATTTTCCCAATTTTTCAAAAGGAAAGATAAATGATTCTGGCAATCAGAGTTTGGTATATTAAATTTTAATATTTCAATAAACTATAGGATGCATTATTATATAAATAGTTTGGGGGTACTAAAAAATCTAAAAATAAGACAATAGGACTTCCTTAGGAACAAGCATTGCCAAGCTTAAGTCCTTATTAATAGGCATTTTTAGATTGGGAGACTCATAAAGTTGAATATTGTAAGTTGGTTTTTATATGGGGTTGAAAAAATTTTCATATGAAATCCTTAGAAAGATATTAAAAAGCCTCGATAGAATAATGCCACTCAGGCATTTTTACCAAAGGGTTCCTGAAGGCAGAAGATAGCAAAACCCCTGCCTCATATAGAAAGAAAAAAAAAATCCTCAAAATATTTTTTCTCATTATTACCTATAAAAGTTAGAACTTGTGACTGAGCATGGTGGCTCACAACTGTAATCCTAGCATTTTGGGAGACTGAGGCAGGTAGATTGCTTGAGCCCAGGAGTTTGAGGAGACCAGCCTGGGCAACATAGCAAAACCTTATCTCTAAAAATAAATCAAAAAATTATCTGGGCATGGTAGCACATGCCTACATGCCACTGCACTCCAGCCTGGGTGACAGAGTGAGAACCTGACTCAAAAAGAAAAAAAGTTTAACATGTCTTTTTATAAAATTAAAGGTAATACTTAAAATAATTTGTCAATTAAGCTATTTGGGTTTTTTTCTCCAAATCTTCAAACAAAATTGATACTTAAATATATCAACAAAATCTTCAAGCAATATTTATATGCCTTTCATATATTCTGTAGTTTTGAGTACTTTCTGATCGCTACAACCTACCACCAGGAATTATTTTACTCTGAGTTAAGGTGTGTAGAACCAAATGAATATTCAAGCTGAATGATAAATATTCCACTCTTGAAATGCAAGGAGCTCTGTATAGTCATGCACAAAACTCTGTCTTTAGGTCTAATCTTTTAAAAATGTTTATGACTACATGAATGAAAATAAATTAAACATGCCTTTCCCATTTGTAAATGACATAACGCAAGGAGAAGAAGCTTACAATGTATCACACAGTCAAGATCCAAATTGTTAATACTGACTGAATAATAAGTTGAAATTTTACGGAGAGCAAGTATAGTTTCAAAATTAATTTCATGATATCTATATGGAAGAATCCTGGTTTGACAGCTGTTCAAAGTCGTTAAATTGAAGGCAAATTCAGTATGAGCATAACCCAAGTCATATTTGCTCTAATCATTTTAAAACATAATCTTGGTCTCTGTGTCAGGAGAATTTTGCTAAGATCAAGAGAGATAGTGTCACACTACTCTCTCTTAGTCAGATCATATCTGCAATAATATGTCAATTCTGGCTACTAAATTTTTAACAGAAGCATTGAAAAACAAGAGAAGGACAGAATAAGAAGATTAGGATGATAGCAGCCTAGAAACTATATGAAATGATGATGAAAACTGAATGAAAGAGGATGCTTCAGGGCAAGCAATAGTTGTGTCAGATATTGAAAGGTAGCCCTAAAGAGGATGTGGGAGCTGCAAGTTCAGTGATGTCAACGAATGGTATAGTAACAGTGAAATGGAGAGAAATGATTGGTCAGATGTGAAATACTGGAGTTTGAGATTTTAGAGGTAGTATATGTTTGTGTTTGGCAAATAGCCATTTGTGTTTGCTGTGGCCAAAGTACAAGTATAGGTCATCTGTGTAGAAATCAAAGTGAACTTTTTAAATACTAAGAGATGGTTTGGGACCACTGTGCAGGAGGAGTCAAAGACCTCACAAATAAAAAATGACCAAAGGTCCATTGATATCAGAAAGAAGCAATAAAGCATAGCATAAGAAAGAGCTTGAATCTCAGAGAATAATGGGCACTTGTCTGAGAAAGGAGTAACAATTTAGGAGGGGGTAATTAAAAGCTCAGAAAATGTCAACACCACCTTTTGACCCTAAAGTTTGGAATGCAGACAAATGAAGAGAGGCGGTCATTTGTTGAAAACACTTTTCACATAGCAGGTATAGTGCATGCCTCAGATTATGCAAAGAGAAGGTGCCACAGAAGCAATCAGGTTTACATAGAATTCATGCTACCAGATTTCTCCTGTCTCAACTTTTGTCAAACCCTTCTAGTTTAAAACTTGACTTTCTTTTTTCCTTTCTTTCTACTTTGTCTTCTTTTATTTGATGACTGTTTATCAAAAGCCAATATGTCCTAGGCTTTAGGCTAAGTAAAAGTATAAGGAGGGTGACCCCTTCGGGTCCCCTCCCACTGTGGTAGCTTTTCTGTCATCTCAATAAATCCTGCTTTCAAAAAAAAAAGTATAAGGAAAACAAAGTTCAAGGGAGAAAAAAAAAGATGTACAATAAAAGTTCTCATTCAGAAGTAACTCATATTCTAGTGTGAGAGATAGATATTTTAAAATCTTAGTTTTATGATATGTTTCAATAAAGATATGCAATGAGTATTCTGGAAAATAAAAGGACGTAGCCTAGGGTGCTCAATGTAACCTAGGATGGAAAGAGATGAGTTGTCAGGGTAGGATTCTTCTTGCTTGTAACCTTTGAACTAAATATTGAAAAGTGTTAACTATTTGGAGAAAGGTAAAGAGCTATCAAAGGTTGCTTCCCCAATAATCTGATATACCCATTTAAAACAGTCAAAGGGAAAAGCAAAATCAGCTCGAGAGTTAAGAGACGGCAAGTTTCAGGTAGGAAAGTCAGGAAAGGTAAGAAAAGGCCAGATAATTGTATATCGTTTTAATAATCATTTTGAAAATAAAAATATTTTCCCTGGATAGTTGGGTACAGCTGGCTCAATCTTTATATTTTTTTCACATTTTTCTGTTGAGTCTTCAGAGTCTAATTCCAACTTGAATTTTGACTCATGAACTACATTTATCTTCAAATTTCACAATTTATTTGTAGTAGAATTCAGTCATTCTTTTCTAGTCTGTCTGGCAGGATGGGGTGAGGGTGGACTGGGGGTGAGAATAGCCAGTCCAAATATTACCTTATGAAGAACAAACTTGTATTTTACATAATTCATGAGTGTTCAATGACTCTTGAGAAAAAAAGACTAATACCTATATAATGGTGCTTAACAACACAAATGATTACAGATTTACATGGCATGTAAAAGAAAACTTATAAGACAGTTAGAACGCTCTTATTAACAGCTGTGCATGGCATCAAACTCTAATTATTTCAGTAGCTGAGGCTTAATACCATCCTGTGATGTGGTCAGATCATATCAAAAATTTTCTTCATGATTAATTATAACCAAAAGACAATCCACAAACTCTCCTTTTTGGTTTTAGGAAAAGTGGTAACAATACACTTCTAAAAACCTGAGCCAATTTGAATGCTACATTACTTTACGTTTTTAATTTTACATTGGGTTTTTCCTTCAGAGGTAGTAATATAGCATTTAACGGCTCTCATTGACCTAGGATCCCTTTTGGTGCTATGTTTTTTGAACAATTTTTAGTTTCTTTGAATAATAAAAATCTTTGGTAATTAATTAACAGTAGGATAGTAGCTTTGGCAAGAACTTAATTTTAAGAATACAATAGCCAGGCTCAGTGGCTCAGCCTGTAATCCTACGCTTTGGGAGACTGAGGTGAGTGGATTGCCTGAGCCCCTGGGTTCGAGACCTGCCTGGGCAACATGGCGAGACCTCATCTCTACAATAAATCAAAAAAAATTAGCCAGGTATGGTAGCGCGTGCCCGTAGTTCTAGCTACTTGGAAGGCTCAGGCGAAAGGATTGCCAGAACCCAGCAGGTAGAGGCTGCAGTGGCCGGGAGCGGCCACTGCACTCCAGTCTGGGTGACAGAGTGAGACTCCAACTCAAAAAAAAAAAAGAGTACAATAGACCTTTGCAAAAATTGGCTATAATTTATTTTACAATCAATGTAGAAAGAAGATAATAATGATTACGTTAGTAGAAGAAACAGTTAATGTAAACATATTCACAAATAGTTAATAATTTATTATGTCAATGAATTGCAATATATTAAGTTATATAATTTTGCACAGATCCTTGATTATTACATTTTCATTAAGAATCACCATAGACATAAACATACACACAGATGGCTGCTTCTTTTTAAGCACCTCTGGTTCTCATATATATAAGATCAAGTTGATATTTTTCCATCTCAATGACTAGAGTGCAAAACTTATCATATTCAGCAAAGGTATTATTCAGTTTTCCCTTCCATTCTTAGACCCTTAGATTCTTACCTCCTCAGAAAGAAATAAGGGCCAATGATTTTCTATGGTCTGACACTACCAGTCTTATCTCTGTTGAAACTTCTTAAAAAAAAGAAATCTTCTCTTGCACACCCCTAAATAAGCTGAAAAAGCAATTGAGGCATACAATCAGACAAGACTTCATTTTCTATGGCAAAATTGCCCAGGAAATGACAAACGAAATCTCCTGCTTAATAAATAACCTAGTGAACCAGCCATCAATGTCATGAAGTGAAGCAACTAAGCTAATGATTTTCTCCTTATTCTTGATGACCAATGCCAATGATTCTAATGATCATTGTCTAATATCTTTTCAGATTTCAAATCTTTACATCTATGACACAGTGCTTCTGCTTGCTAATGCTTTTCATAAGAAGCTGGAGGACCGGAAGTGGCACAGCATGGCCAGTTTGTCATGTATCAGGAAGAACTCGAAACCCTGGCAGGGGGGGCGCTCCATGTTGGAGACCATCAAGAAGGTAAATTCCTAATTTTCATGTAAAAAGAATATAATAAATCATTGTTTGATGAGATTCTTTCTAGAAGAATTATTTCCCTGACTAATATTACTGCTAATACAAAGCATAATATAGTATAATGTGAAGATGAAACAGTGAAAGAGAAAAAGACCAAAGGTCATAATCATATATAAAACAAGGCATCCTTATATTTATTTGTAAGAGAATTTTATACAAGAAAAAATCAGTGGTTGAGATATTTTAAGTTGCCTTGACTATATCATTAGCATTAGAGATACTCAAATTATTTTGGGGCCTGACAGGAAGTACAAGAAGTTGTTTTCTTATTAAATGGTACCATCAACCAAAAAATGAATGGTAGACTTAGTAGCTACTCAGTTGGACAAAACATGGTAAGATATTAGATGTGGAGTCCTTTAATTTATCTTACAATAAAGATATAATTTGTAAACAGCTAATATGTTGCAGACTTTGTGAACTATTTGGGGTGCTTGGCTGCATTATTCTTTCTTAAGAACTATTTATTTAATTATCAATAGTTTTGGGGGGTACAAACGATTTTTTGTTACATGGGATGCATTCCATAATGGTGACAAAGTCTGTGCTTTATGTGTACCCTCTGCAACCACCTGTGTCCACTGTAGCAGAGCAGTCTAAGGCATTATTATTTTTCTTTGCTGTCAAGGTGTTGCTAAACCCGGCTGTGAATCTGTTTGGCTTAGCAACCTGTTCCAATCCCAGAAGGCAGTTTATGTTGTTTAGCTCCTCTCAGTGGTATAAGCATTCTGCAGATTATTAGTCTTTTTGTCATGTCATTCTTGTTGACATTTTCCTTTTGTCTTGCACAGCTTCTTGGATTTAAAATGAAATGATTAATAAAACAAACAAATTCTCCTATACCCTTTACACAAAAGAGACAGCCATTTGGAAGTTCATATTCTTTATTTTACCCATTCTTTTTTTTTTCTGCACGTGTTTGCTTTCTCTCATGATAGACAAGGAAAAAATAGCAAGTCAAATGAAATATGCATGCATTGAGAAAAGTCAGAGAAAAACCTAAAAATTTAATATGAGAAGTGGCCTGGATATAGAAAAACAGGAAGTTGAGGAAAAAAATATTTTGAATGGAGAATAGCCTGGATCTTTTTCTTGGTACTCTTGTAGGAGGTCCTTTTCTGCTGCTTTAACAGACTACCACACACTGGGAAATTTATAAAAAACATTAAATGTGTATATATTTTGCCTCATGTTTGTTGAAGCTGGAAAGCCCAAAACCATGGCACTGGCATCGTATGAAAGTCACTCCATGGAGGAATGGCATCATATGGCAAATGAGTAGGTGAGACAGAGAAAAAAGAGGCCAAACTCTTGGCAATAACTAACCCATTCCTGTACTCTCCATTCATGAGGGCAGAACCCTCAAGTGTGAATCACCTCTTAACAGTCCCACCACTTAATACCACTCAATGACAGTTAGATTTCAACATGACTTGAAATTCCACTCCTGCCGCCCCAAAAAGTTCATGTTCTTCTTACATATAAATAGTCTTTCTATCCCAACAGTCACAAAAGTTCTAATTCTAGAGTTTCAGCTAAATCAGTTATAAGTAAGATTCAAAGCATGACTCATTATAAGGCAAATGTCTTCTGGTTGTGAGTCCCATAAGATCAAAACCTATTATCCACTTCCAAAACGCTGTGGTGGAACAGGCACAGAATTGACATTCCTATGCCAAAAGGGAGAAATCGGTAATCAGAGGTAACTGGTCCTAAGTAAGTCCAAAAACCAACAGGAAAAACAACATCAGGTCCTTAAAGTTAGAGAATAATATCCTTTTACTCAACATTCTGCTTCCTGAATACAACAAAATAGGCGTAGGGCCTTAAAAGCTACAAGCAACCCCACCACCAGGGCTTTGCTAAGCTCAGTTCATACAGCTCTCACAGGTTAGAGTCACTCATTGTTAGTCCGACAGTTCTGCAGCCATTGTCATAGTAGAATCTTTGTGGCAGCTCTCATCCCATGTTTCCACTCAGCATTGCCTTCGTAGGAGCTTTCTATGGCAGCTTCACCCTAGGTATCCAGACTTTTTCTCTTTTTTTGGAAATCTAAGTGGAGGAACCCATATCCTATAGTTCTTGTATTCTGTGCACCTGCAGAATAACACCATGTGGATGCTACCAAGTCTAACTGCTTGTGCCCTCCAGAGTGGCAGCCCCTCCTAAACCTGGGCCCACTTGAGCTATTACTGGGCTTCTGAGGAATACTGCACTGGAATATAAGAGTAGAGTTCTAAGGCAGGCCTGGGCAGTGAACCCGTAAAGTGTAGCCTTGGGACTATCACCTGAAACCATTCTTTTTCTCCCAAAGTTGATGTCAGCAGCAGCCTTAAAGATTTTTCAAATTCCCTTTGGGGTCTTTCTTTCAATATCTTACTAAATAACACTTGATTCCTTTCTAGTCATATTAATTTCTTTAGCCGATTATCACTAGGCTGTACCCTTAGTATTCGCTCCTTGAATATGTTTTTTTTTACTCTTTACATAATCAGGCTGTGAATCTTTCTATTGTTTCCATCTGCTTCTCTCTTAATTATAAATTCCATCTTTAAGTCATTTCTTCCCTCTCACATCTTATTGTATGCAGTTAAAAGTAACCACACAGCAACTTGAAAGCTCTACTGCTTAGAAAGTTTTTCAGCCAGGTAACCTAGGTCATTGCTCTTAAGTATTTCATTCCATGGAGTCCCAGGAAATGAACACAATTAGCCAAGGCTTCTGATACTCTAAAAAAGAATAACATTTACTCCAGTTTCCAATCTTGTTCCCCGTTTCTGTCTGAAACCTCATCAGAATGGTTGTTACTGTCCATATTTTTACCAATATCCTAGTCATGACCAATTAAGTAAATGCTAAGAAGATTCAGATTATTCCTACAGATCACCTCTTCTGAGCCCTTGCCAGAATTGCCCTTAATGCTCCGTTCACAACAATACAATATTTTTCTAGCCTGCTCCTTTGAGTTCTTCCAGCCTTTACCCATTACACAGTTCCAAAGCCACTTCTATATTTTCTGGTATTAGTTATAGCTACAGCCCAACTTCTGGGTACTGGTTTTCTTAGTTTGTCTTCTGCTACTGGAATACCACCAACTGGTAATTTATAAACAATAGAAGTTTATTTGTCACATAGTTCTGAAGTCTGGTAAGTACAAGAACATGGGGCCAGCATCTGATGAGGGTCATCTTATGGTGGAAAGATATCACATGGCAAGGAAGCGTGTGAGATCGAGAGAAAAGGGGACAAAACTCTAGCTATTACTAACCCATACCTGCAGTAATGGCATTAATTAATTCATGAGAGCAGAGCCATTATAACCTAACATCCCTAAAAGATCTCATCATTACAAGAGCAATTAAATTTTAACACAAGTTTTGGAGGGGAGTTTCAAATCATAATGGTATTGTTTTCATTGCAAAAGAATCACTTTAATGAGAATTTAGGCTACTATCAAAGGAAGTATTTGAGAATTAAATGCATTGAATATATTGGCAGAGAAAGATTTTTCAACTGAAAAATGATTAAGTCTAATCTAAAATCAAGGTGTTACAAAAATCTTCCAAGTTTATCTGTGTAGAGAGCTGGCAGATAAGAATCCAAGGGAAATTGTTGAACATGATTCTGATCCTGCCAATTTATTAATTCATGGTTTGGCTAGGATGCAGGAACCTGAATATATTTATTCTTCTGAAGCTTTCATGCAAAGAAAAAAATAATAGTGTCAGAGTTTGTTTAGGAGACATTTATTTAGTGAGAGAATAAACATGAAGGAAAGAGAGACACCATAATATGTCAGTATTTCTCATGTAGCAATTCAATATCTAAATGTTGCTGTTAGGAAATTTATAATCAAAATAATGATTTAACATACACATTCTAAAATTTTATATTAAGGATCTAATTGAATTATTTGTCTCTGTAAGCTTCTGCCTCAGTGGAACTTTTTAAAAGGAATATTCTCTGTATCAATAAACTAAGTGATTTCACTCTATAAAAAAGATATCTTCATGTACATGTTCACCACAGCATTATTCACAATAGCAAAAACATGGAACCAACCATACTGCCCATCAAAAGAGGACTGGGAAAAAATATGGTACAAATACACGCTGGAATATTATGTAGCCATAAAGAAGGACAAAATTATGAACCTCACAGCAACTTGGATGGACTTAGAGTCTATAATACTGAGTGATCTATTACAGAAACAAAGAACTGAGTATCACATGTTCTCACTCATAAGCTGACCTCGAACAATTATGGTAATACTATAAGAAAAAGATTGACAGTTGTAGCAAACAGCTGGGGGGCGGGTGGAATTGGCAGTAGTGGAAAACTGCCAGGGGAGGGGGAGCATATCTCATCAACAAGAGTACCTGCATAATGAACATTTGTATACCTAACCCTGAATTGTACCCCACATCTTTAAAATAAAAATTATTTTAATGTGGTATATATACACAATGGAATATTACACAACCATAAAGAAACAAAGAACTGAGTACCACAAGTTCTCACTCATAAGCGAACCTTGAAAGATTATCATAATACTATAAGAAAGGGATTGGCAATAGTGGGAAACTGCTGGGGAGGGCACACCTCATCAACAATGGTACCTGCTTAATGACTATTTGTATACCTAACCCTGAATTGTACTCCACATCCTTAAAATTTTAAAAAAATGTTTTAAAAAAGAAGCTAAGTTTGAATAATATACATGATTACAAATGTACAAATTCATTATTTTTTTTTAACTCACATATCAAACTGGCCTTAAGAATGAAGGGTTTTTTTTTTGTTTTTGTTTTACTAATCATACCACTTTTTGCCTCGTATGAGTGTTTTTGGTCATTCTATTTGGAAATCAAGACTGATGATACTCCACACATCAAGAGAATTTGATTAAAGTTTATTACTCAAACAGAGACTCCTGGAAAGAA